CCCCCCCCCCCCCCCCGTGGTTAACACCAACATATTCACAAGCTCATGAATCAATCCATACTTCAATTAACATATGTCCAAATCAAGAAGTACCCATCCTATGGCTAAAAGAAAAGCACCAAAATTGCTACGCACCAAACATTTCTCCAGTATACTAAAGTTAGAACCATCACTAAAAGAAGAAATTGTCACCTCAATATTTCTTGAAATTTAGCTCTTCATCAATTAACCAGAACAAGAGTTCACTTGTTTAATTCTATTCACATATCTAGCATAATCCAACTAACAAAGACAACAAAAATTTGAAAATTGAAATAAGCACAACATAAACAAAATACTACTTCAACTAAAGCTTGCTTGAACTAACATCTAGCTCTCAAAAACCCAGGTTGCAAATGAAGTCTTCTGTTTTTTTGTTTCTCGTATTTCCTTTCATCTAATCTTCATCAGCAGATGGCTTTGATGAACCACCAGCCTTCTTAGGCAGCAAAAGGTTATGAATGTTTGGCATCACGCCACCATTGGCAATTGTAACATCCCCAAGAAGCTTGCTCAGTTCCTCATCATTCCTCACAGCCAATTGAATGTGCCTTGGAACTATCCTAGTCTTTTTGTTGTCCCTTGCTGCATTTCCAGCCAATTCCAACACCTGCGTAGCCAAAAGCCCAAAAATTAAATTTTATAAACAAACATTTCAAACACAAGAATTTGGGGGAACCAATTTACTTCAACTTCAGAGCATATGGAAGAAATGTAAAACCGGAACACATGAAAAAAAAATTTACAATCCATATAATTGGATATTCCAAATAGAAAACGATTTAAAAGGAATTAGAAAGTCAAAAAAATATGATTAGTTGTCAATGAAAACAACGACCATGATTAGAAAGAATCAGAACCATTTCATGTCCAGAAATTTAAAAAACGGATTTTTATTGTGGGAAAACAGAGAAACAGATTTAAAACTCGTCGGCAGTCTAGGAAAAATTTTGAAACCCTAGATTTGTAAACCCTAAGAACTCGATCTTCTAAATAAAAGCAAATTGACATTAATATTCTATTACCTCTGCAGCAAGGTATTCAAGAACGGCGGCGAGGTACACAGGAGCTCCGGCGCCAACACGTTCTGCATACTTCCCAGCCTTGAGAAAACGGGCAATACGACCCACGGGAAACTGGAGCCCCGCCTTGCTGCTCCTTGATTGGGCCTTCTTCGCAGCCCCAGATCCAAGAGTCTTGCCCCTGCCGGCCATTTGAATTGCAACAGAAATTAACAATGAAAGCAGATGGATTCTCGACTATAGGAAATACAGAAAAGCAAGTATGAAAGGAAGAAGGTTACGGTTGCTTATATATTGGTTGGAGGTCTGAATATGGACCAATACGATGGAAGGATACGGATCGTGGATTTTAGCCGTTGATAAAGAAATTGAATGGACGGCCAGATTCAAAACCCAGTTCTTGTGTCGGATTTCACCGCCTGAGAACTTTGGTGTTTTTTTAAATCACTATTTTAGCCCTTATTGTTTACCGGGTGGAAACTGGGAATTATCCTACCGCATTTTTTAAACAATCTTGCTACAGGTACAGGAGAATTTTGACAGAATACTTATAGAACACTTACAGTTCGAGGGTCCACACACATTTTTGACATTTTTTATACAACATGGAACCCACATACTTATCTCTATTTTGTCAAAAATCTGTCAAAATAAATCTGTACCCTCAAATTTATTCTTTTTTAAATTTTTGCATCACATTGCTATTAGGAAAAATTGCAATCGAGGTACCATACCTTTCATTTATTAGCAGATTTTGGCCAACCCTTTAATTTGTGCCACCCATGATACCAAACCTTTCAAAAACTCGCAGTAAAAATCCAAATGGATGGAAATTGTTAATTTGACTAGTAGTTAACCAAAAATGTCAAAGTTTGACCAATTTTGACCAAATTAAAAAGGACAAAATGGTAACTATACAATTTTCTCACATTAAAGAATTAAAATATTAAATCAAAAAATAAAAATAAAAATAAAAAATCCTACAGGCTACAGTGATCCTAATTCAAACTCACGCCTAACCTAAAACCACCACCGTCATCCACCACCATCACTACAACGACTGCCACCACCACCAAATCTACAGCCACCATCTTCACTACCTAATAGAACCCAAGCGAAAAATCATATTCAAATCCAAAATTTCATCTCCCCATTCACTGCAATCGTTACTACTTCACTCCGAACTCAAACCGAAAATCCTCATTTTCAAACGCGGTTGATGGACCTCCGGCACGACCAATGACGTCAAAGCTCAATTGCAGTGCCCATTCGACAATCGCAAAGCTGAATTACATCGTTGTGAAAACTCGACTCCCATTCCCATTCCATAGCCAGCAGCATCGTTGGAGATCTGAGCAAAAGATAACAAAAAAATGGAACTCAACAATGATTCTTGGTGCTAAAGATGAGTATTCATGTATGAGATTTGAAATAGAAAAATGGGCAGAGCATTGTGCACACTGAATCTTCATCTCCTTCTCCTAATTTGATATTTTTCTCTGTAGGGCTCTTGATTAAACTTACGCGTGGAGGATTATAGCAGGGTAGACAAATGTGGGTGGTGCTTGTGTGGATGGTTTGGTGGTGTGTGGTGGCTAAATGCGGTCTGCGGCCAGAGTCGGTGGACTGTGTGGCTAGGGTTGGTGGTGTTATTGCTGAATTTGGTTGGGTGAGGTGAGGGAAGGGGGTGGGTTGAAGGAGATAAAGAATTTGTGGATGTTGTTTGTGTGGATGGTTTGGTGGTGTGTAAGTGAATGGAGAAGAAGATGAATAGTATTTTTGTGTTTTGATTTAATTATTAATATATTGTAATTATTATTTTTTGTTGAAAAATGTAAAGTTACCATTTTATCTTTTTAATTAGTCAAAATAATGGTCAATGTTAAATTTTTGGTCAACTAACGGTCAAATTAACAGTTTCCATCCATTTGGACTTCCACTGCGAGTTTTTGAAAGATTTGGTATGTGGGTGGCACAACCTAAAGGTTTGGGCAAAGTCTGCTAATAAACGAAACGTTTGGTACCTCGGCTGCAATTTTCCCTTGCTATTATTATGATGATTATCAGCAACAATCATATTAATAGGATGTGCCTCGAATCATCTCTCTATCTTAAAAAATCCTCACGAGCACAACAGAAGATATTTGGGGGTCGTCTTTTCCAAATCAAATTTGGGGCTTTCTTGAATGCATAAATCTTTTAAGAGCTTCGACCCTCGAATATCATATGACGAAGATAGGTGCTAATGATAATTTATGATGTGTAAAAGATGTAGAAATACTCTAAAGAGTAAAGGCGTACTCTCTAGAGAGCCAGCCAACAATGCTTAGCACCCATATGGTTCTAATTTTCTAGGCCAAAAAATCAAATTTTCTTATCGTTATTTAACATGATCAGCTGTCATTTTTTACATCTTCACTCATAGGTGAGACCCACTTTTCTATCAAACAGTCAAAAAATCGATTCTAAGAACTAGTACCAAACGGTGTGTGTCTAATTAGCGATTTTTCCTTTGAATAAATATAAGTTTATATACATTTCATATGAAAATACTTGAAGATAACTTAAAAATAGATTACAATCATGCTTTTAATCCTCCAAGATATTAAAAAATAAACTATACCGTTATATCCCTCTCTATCGGTCAAAAAATTGTAATAAAATACATTTTCGGGGGATTTGAGTTTATCATGAATCAATTGATTTCTTTGCAAAATTGTGCTCAATTTCTTATGTGGGAATTCCGCCAAGATTTCTTATTTTGGGGGAAGAAACCGCACGAATCGAGTTTTTTGAAGAGTGTATTGAGAGAGAAATTGTGTCTACAAGGTAGATAGCTTACAATATAGCTCGTCAGCCACCACATTGGTTATCTAGTGCAGCCACCACATTGGTTATCTAGTGCATCAGCCTTACTCTAATAAGTCCAAGAGGTATGCCCCTTCAATTAGAAGGCTCCATAAGTTGAGACACCCGGAGCGTATTATATTAACGGAAGGGGAATTTACACAAATGTCACTAAAATTGAAAATGCAAAAAAAATTTGGACATTCACCAATTTCTTCCAAGAATGTCAATTTTTCCCTACAAAATGTCCACTTTACCCTTTAACACCTTTTTGGAGCAATAAATGCTTGATTTGAATGCAATTAATCTTATGATGTGATTAATTTATTTTTGCTTTAAATTTAATATTGAAGATATGATATTATATTGTATAATAAGATTTTTTTTGATTAAAAAAAGGGTGAAATCTTTACAAAATACACACACACACACATATGAATTGAAAGAGCTTCTTCTTCTTCATCATCTCCACTCCATCATCAACAAGGAAATAAGGAAAGCCATTGACAAATTTGAAAGGTGAGGTAGTAGAAAAAAGTTCATCTCATGTCATAGTTGACTACTTTAAATGTTCAATACAATATGATCATATTTAAATGAACCCTTTCAATCTCTTATTCATTGATGTAGTTAATTTTTGGTATATTTTAGAAAGAAAAATTATACCAATATTATATAGAAAATGTGAAGTATTCCATATATAATTCAACATTTAATGAAGCATTAAGTAATACCTTGTTCATTTCTAAAAAGATACAGTGATATGTAGTTCAGAATTTATTATGGCCTTTATCGTTTTCAATAAATTCGTCAAACAGTGAAGCACTTGGAATTTATCTTTCTCGAAAGTTATGGCAGTAGAACTGTCGAGCAGTATCTTGGAAACTGTCGTGTTAGACATTTTAACTGTCGAACTCGACATTTACTGACTGTCGTGATAGAAAATGTAATTGTCGATTTCGACACTTGAAAACTGATCATCTTTTATATCTTTGGTAGTATATGGATGTAAGTATTTTCGTGTGCCAATTTGATGTTATGAAATGTCGACATATGAATGTGCAGAATTCTCACTTTTGCAGTCCCAACATTTCAGGTATGAGTCATGATTTCAGATTCATCGTGTCGCATGGAGGAAACTTCGTTCACTCAGATGATGAATGGAAGTGGAGAGGGGACAAAACCACTTCCATTTTAGTGTCGAGAAGTATTACCGTAGCAGAACTTGTGTTACGATTAAAGGAGAAACTTGGTATCGTTGAATCCCGCAATGTAATCGAATTGAAGTTCAAAGTCCCGAACTTGAATCTACCTCCGGCAGAGATACGCGACGATGAGGATCTACAGTGGTACATATCTGTTCACAAGGAAACTGCACTATGCATGACATATTTGGTATCCGAGCTCCCGATTGTTGGTATGGCAACAGATGCAAATTGTGAAGGGAACTTGTTCGGCCCAACGGAATGTCCACTGAATGTACAACATGACGAGATGAATCATCAGCACAGTGTGTCGCAAACCGAACCACCTGAACCTCCAATTGAGCGTATAGAGGCTGCAGCATCCGTCGAACACTTAGAGAACCCATTACATGGTACAGATCGTGCTATTATTGCTGAAATAGACGAGACAATGTCATCAAATTCCAGACGTTCGTGCACAGATGAGTGGATTACAGCTGCAAATACATCGGTTCTCGTCGAGAAGCAAATATTCTTTACCAAGAAACAGTTGTACTCGAAGCTTCATGTACTTGCTTTGCAAGAGAAGTTCCAATTTCGGGTAAGCAGGTCAAGCTTGAAAATGTTAACAGTTGTCTGTGTGGATGATAATTGCTAGTGGATGCTACGTGCTTCTACTATCAAGCAATCTGCAATCTTCATGATCCGTAAGTTCGTTGCAGTTCACACATGTTCCCTTGATTTTCGTCGTAACGCACATCGGCATGCCACTAGTGCTGTAATTGCGGAGCACATTTTGGGAAAATTGGATACTCCATATAGATCATATCCGCCTACTCATATTGCACGTGATATGGAACATGAGTTTGGTGTGAAAATCAGTTATAACAAAGCACGTAGGGGGAAGCTCCATGCCTTAAATATGCTACATGGTACACCAAGGGACAGTTTTCAGAAATTATCTTCGTACTGTCACGTCGTAGGAGAAAGTAACCCGGGGACCGTTACCCACATCGAAGTTGATTCTTGTAATAGGTTTTGTTACTTCTTCGTAGCTTTTGGTGCAAGCATTCGTGGATACATGCAGTACTTGAGACCCGTTATTTGTGTTGATGGCAGTCACTTGAAAGGTTCATACAAAGGTACACTCCTAGTGGCAACTGCCCAAGATGGTAACAAACAGATTTATCCGTTGGCATGGGGGATCGTGGATGCTGAAACCAATAAATCGTGGAAGTGGTTTTTGTCGAACTTGAAAGACCTTATAGGGGATTCCAAAGAACTCGTGTTCGTTTCAAACAGGAAAAAGAGTATTCAGAAAGCTATTTCTCAGTTGTTTCCGTCGTCTCGGCATGGTTGTTGTATATGGCATATGGAAAAGAGCCTAATACAGCGGTATAACAACGCAAGCCTATTATTTCTATTCAAACAAGCTGCTGCAACTTTTCGGGTCGAGGACTTCGAACGACTCATGGGACAGATTCATAGAGTGAGGGAAAGAGCGCACGGGTACTTAGAGCGAGCGGGATATTCATTTTGGTCCAGAGCACTATTTATTGGACACCGTTACAATATTATGACAAACAACAATGCAGAGTCGTTGAACTCGATGTTGAGACAAGCCCGGTCGTTACCGATAACCTGCTTGGTTGAACACATTCGGAGTACTATGCAGAAGTGGTTTTACGAACGTCGAGCAAATGCGGAAGAATGCAGTACCTTATTGACACCAAGGATGAAGAACGAGCTACGGACGACTTTCGAAAATGGAACTAGGCTTCGAGCCCATGTCCTGACAAACAACTTGACGCAGGTTGGAATATCCAACGACACGGACATAGTTAACTTGTCCGAAGAAACCTGCACATGTCGTAAGTTCCAACTAAACCGCATGCCATGTGTTCATGCAAGTCGTGCTGCTCGCTTTAGAGGGAAGACGTTGTACGAGCTTTGCTCCCGTTATTATTTATTGGACTACTGGAAGGGTGCCTACAGCGAAACTATATATCCTGTTCCGAGGAGAGTGGATTGGGTTGTTCCGAGCTTAATTACATGTACTCCTATTTTCCCACCACTCGTACGTCGTCCTCCAGGTAGACCACCAACCCGCCGTACGCGTTCTAAGTATGAGTATGCATGGTCTACCAGAAAATGTACCCGCTGTGGTAGAGTTGGTCATAATCGGACCACGTGTTCAAACCCCCGTGTATCACATGCTTCTTAAAGATTTGCAGGTTAATAGACGTTGTATGTTAATTATTCCGTACTACATCGAACATTATGAAGTTATGATTTACAGTTTGTGATCATTAATGTTCTTGCATGTTGCGCATCCTGTTGTGCACATAAAAAGTTCGCTATCTGTCCAGCACGTAGTAAACATCCCGCCTAGTTCAAATGTCGGTCCCGATAGATGTGTTACTTATTCTCGACAGTTGACGGAACCTTGCACTGCACTCACGGTCTGCGTCACACATACATGTTGTGACCTCTAAACACAAGAACGGAAAATGTTTGATACTTTACATATATTTTTTTTTTCATTTCGAAACGCAATCTTCTATCCCCTTACAGATTTACTATCATTAGCATCATCTTAAATCGAAATTAAAGGTAGTGCAAAACGCAATCTTGAATCTCGAAGAAATGTACAATCATTTGCGTCATCGTAAATCATGGATTAAAGTTAGTCCATGATACACACCTTTCACAATAGCCGTTTTACATACTGCAAAATACATAACTATTTTTGTACATATTATCCTTACTGCCCGACAGTTGACATGTCGTACCCGACAGATAGTCTCAGTAATTCTTGACAGTTCGACCGAAAAACGCAAAAAAACATGACACGAATTGCATGTTAGGGACATGTTCGCGTTGACTTTTTGGTATTGTCTTAACTAAAGTCATCCCTACAAAATACCTTACTATACAGTACTTATTCACTACATTCCATGGGTGTCACTTTAGTCGTCGTCCACAACTGAACCACCGTCCCCGCTATCCTCACCTGACTTGTCGGAAGAGATGATAATTACCGCATTTGGGGGATCGTACACCATCCAGTCGTCCTCATCGTCGGAATCCCCCTCGTATTCGGAATCCAGCTCGAACTCCTCATTGAGGACTCCATTCGGTGATTGCGCACCCTCGTTGGAAACAACTTCTAAATTGGGAAAAGAAACGGGGAAAATGGCTCCCCTCCCAATACGAGGGTTAACTTCCTCCTCATCTGACGAAATATAAATTGGAAAAAGCGGAGATGAACCAAGAACTGGCAGTGGCTCGTTCATGTTCAACGGTTCGTTGCTTCCTGTGGAAGAACTCATTACGTGAACGTATAGTAGTACTGAAGGAATGATAAGTGTCTGTGAGAAGGTGAATGGGTGACAATGGTCTTGAAGGAACTTGTTTGTAAGTGAGAATGAAGTCCCACAGTATTTATAAGCTAATTGAAGGGGAAACAATTATGGTCTCCACTACCCAACCACCAAGTCCAATCGCCTTGTAAATTTGAAATGCACTTTGTATGATGGTTGAATAAATGAAGTGTACCTTTATCCCTCATTTCCCCATACTTAGTACAATGTTAAACACTCTTTAATCATGTGCACAATTAAGGAAATGTCCATATCTGCAACAAAAAACTGCTCAATCAAATTGCTACTTTTAATTTGCCATGGTTGTAATGGTATAGTTTCTCACACGTACGGGTCATCATCGCAACACACATGGAAGACGAACAACGAAATAATTATTTTTACTCAATTTATTGATTTATGAATTACTTTTACCATGGTTGTCATGCTCTTGACACTTGTAATGACTCATCTTCTCGTTGCATCTCATGTATGTGCCTTAATGCCTTACTTTGAGAATTTATCATAATAATATCGTCCCAGATTAAAGCTATAGTGAAGACTAGATATAATTAGAACAACAGATAAGTACATACATAAGCACGCAACGAAAAATATGAGCACATACCTGCACATGTATTTAAAGCATATTATGACAGTGTTTACATCATATTATGTCCACTAGATAAATTTATCAAATATAACATTCACTAAAACATTCGCTATTTAACATAAGCAACACGGGTGTAAGAAGCGTAACACAAATTAGAAAATCTTAAAGACTCGAAGTATATTACTACGTCTATAATAAGATTGGATCGAATATCAACAATATCAACAAAACAGTACTTACAAAGCATTTTGGAAAATTGACATGTTGCATACGCTTGTTCCCCTCCTCCAAAAGAAAATAAGCGCACACAATATGTCCAACAAAAATATATACCGAACAACAAAATGAACCTGACTGATACAATCAACAAAGTTAAAATACCAGACACAATTCATAAACACTACAACTACCGATCAGCCAAGCAACATAAAATATGAGGAATTTGTCCACGTATCACCACGGTACACAAGAGTAATTAAAATGTAATGTAAAACGAATTCAAACAAAAGTTATTTATCCAACAAGTTAACATCCGTCACCACCTCCACCAAATCGCTGACAGGGTATTACCAACTACAACACCACCGTCGTTCTATCCCGACAGTTCATACTCCTTTTACTTCTTTGTTCGCTTCGCCGCCCTTGTATACGGAGTCCTGGCCGCAGGAGCTAGACGTCGCACCTGTGCCGAGCACCAACTCGTCGTAGGAACTCCGTGTCCTGGTTCGGCTACACTGGTAGGAATAGGGACTTCAGCGAGATCGCCTACGAGAATTCAAAAGGAGGGGGGAGTTAGTGACCATAAATGCCCTTCACGTACCATACGTAACATACAATAAGTGATGCAGAGAATGAACTTACCATCACCATCCGTAACATCGTAACCCTGTAAGTCGGCATCGTTGCTCGGGGCCGCATGTGAGGGTTCCATGGCTCCTCCATCTGATGTTACAACACATATGTAACTGCATATGTGTACGACATTTGCAGTTGGAAGATAATGGAAGCGTACAGGAAGAAAGAAAATGAGAAAAATAATTCCCATCGAATATAGTAGGGAAAAATCGTAGCACATGACAACGTACCTATCTGTTCGTCGGTTGCTACGGGCAGTGGGTCGTGTACGTTGTCCGGGCGAGCCGCGATGTCTCCTCCATCTGTTGATGAGAACATGAAAACTGTGTGAATACATTAGGTTTCCCAACTTCCACAACATACAAAGTCCGTCAAATAACAAGTTTCAATGCGCTCATAAATAACCTACGTACCTTGTACATGTGCAGTTCCTGTATCTGCTCGCATGTCTCGCTCGTCCAGGGAAGGCTCCATTTCTCCTCCATGTATTTCTAACTCACAATTGTCGTATGGAAAAAAATGTGAACTACAGGTGCATGTGCTACTGTCGAACATAGGTGAAAAATATAAACCAAACGGTTTATGTATTGAACGTTCATACCTTGCGAAATACTACCTGAAACTCCAGCTTCGGTATCGACGGGCATCGCGGCTGCAACGGGGGTCGGAGCAAGTGGGGCCACGAGGGTAGCAAAGAAAGCTCCGAGTTTTTTACATTCGGATGTCACGTGCTGTTCGATTTCAAGCTTGACGGTGCGGAGTCCATTTCAAAGAGAATTCTTTGGTCGAACAACAGCTCTTCCACCTCCTCTTTGGTGAGGCCTGTCCGGATGTGCCAACTGGCCGTGTCTCCATCGTCGACCCTCGCACTGGAGAAGAAACGTGGGTCGCTGGAGGTGTGGAAGATGCACCGGTCTGCCCTCTACAAGTATCCGCACCGACGCTGGATCGCTCACTGGCGCCCTCGCCACTCTCCTCGGTATCGACACCTTCATTTCCAGACATCTCATCCTCACCACTTCCTCCACTGGAGACTCCGTCATCGGATTCCTGCCTCACCAATAGGCCGCCATTTCCACTACCTCCGTGTGATGCATTAAACTGCAGCCCCACAACATTCCTGGCAATCTCATCCAGCACAGGCACCGGAGGATCATCGTACGGCACGAGAGTGGAGAAATACTGCTGTTCCGCCTCAACATCGGTGGGACGAAGTGTGGCATAGATATGCAACTGCAATGTACGGTTATACATTAGAAACGAAAAGCTTTAGGAATGACACGAAACGTGAATAACAAAAGTAACACATGTGGTATCCATACCCGCACGTTCTTGAAGAATGCATCGTACGTACGATGCTGTGGTTGTTTTCGTGCGGACCACCTAAGCAATCGTGACATTCGTTCCCCAATCTCGAGAACTGCCTCGCACGCCCAAACCTGTTCCATCAAGACAAACAGAAATAAAATAACTGAGATGGTACGCACGATGCTACATGATGGCAAACAAATAAAGCATGATATGCTACTATTTAAAACTTGTGTACCTGCATGGCAATGGGAAAGCCATGAATAGTGTATGTAACCTCCTTCTCTTGCCTCCTCTTCGCCTTCAGGAATTTCTTTGCCCAGAAACCCCGAAATACGTGCAGCAAACGCCGATAGCCGACTCTACCCCAAGGGTAGGCAAAAAAAGATATCTAGGTTGTCGACAATAGATAGTGTACGCAAATCAATTCTGACGTTATTATCAGGGGCATTGAAAACTCCTTCGACTATTAGCACGAGTCCTAGCTTGTAGCGATTGGCTCGGGTCGTCGAAGGTCGGGCAATAGTAGTTTGGAGTTGTGCCAACGATATCTTCTCCATGGATTTGAAGTACCTCTCCTTCAGCCTTCTCCTTTCCAGCACTCGATCGAACTCATCACCCTCCGGGAATACACCGTATCTTAATCCCGTCACAAGGGTGTATTCCTGTAGACCGAATCTCATCATGTTGCCTTGCACATTGAACCAGAGCTCGTTAACCTTGTCAGTGCGAATGGTTCTGAACACAAGCTGCTGGATGAGTTGGGCAGAGAATTGAATCTCTGCAACCTCGGCCAGATACCCGAAGGGGGAGTTTCGAAACTCGTCGCGCAGTCGATCATCGAAAAGGTCCATCACTGTCTTCACATACTTCAAGTTGCTCCTCTGCGAAATGTGGGCCCGCAACCTTACCTCCTCTGGAATAAAATAATCAAACTCCATCAGTCCTGTATCCTGCAAGATGCATTCATAAAACTCACTGGGGTTACTGGATAAACTTAAAGATATTGTATCATAAATAGCAATTTAATGAAACACACTAATGCATGGACACACTCAATTGTCGAGAAAAATTGACTACAACCGT